AGCCAATAAAAATGAATTCAATTGCGAAAAGCTCGCAACACCCTCCTAGGTCAAATAAAAAGATATATTTGCTCCAGGGGACCACCGACACTACCCCTTTTGACATATTAACGAGGCCAAGTCTAATTCGAGCGCGCATGACTTTGCACAGCTGTTAAATATCATGCAGTCATTTGTACGACAGTACACCGTTGCCAAATATTTTGATTTTAATACAAAATTAACATTATCTGTAACCCATACTGGTCTGAAAATATGACTTTACGCAATAATTAGGAAATGTATGAATACAAATGTATTTTTCGAGGATGTATTCTGATATCAATGTAAAAAATGACCTACTTTTTTTTTTTACTCAAAATCAGCTTGAACCCCTGGTCATTCACATGTAAACAGACGTTGTTTGAAGAGAAGCGAAGAGATGCATAGTATTTGCAATATATTTCAACATTTTGAAGTTGATTTCTTACTCTAGATTGTAGGATTAAGTCTGTAATAATTCCTTTAGCGAAAAATTTATTTGAAATCGTCGACATCATCAACTGTACCGCCATGTTGTTCATGAATGTTTAAGAAGGTATGGTTGAACGAATTTTTCTTGGAAAATAAAATATACCTTCCAATTTTAAAAACAATTAAACTGCTAAATGTTGTTGGTGACTTACTAAGTTCATATGATCAAATTAGAGATCTTGTAAAGCTGGAATGAATGAGCAAATATGCATTGATCATAGGGTAAATTCCGGGGAAAATTTGTCCTACCGTTCCCCTTTAACAGTTAGTGTAGCACTTCAAAGGCCGAAGCTGATGTCAAGTAAAAAATACGGTCCATTTAGGAATTGATTTCAGAATATCTCAAGAAATATACGGAATTACGGAATGAAATTAGGTAGCAATGAAAATTGTTTTTATATAAATGAATTTGGATAGAAAGTAATTGTAAAGCATTTGATTTCAAAGAAATTTATTCTTAAAAGTAGATACACTTTGAAAAGAGTTCCATACCTTTATGTTTTTAACACTTCATTTTTTTTTCTAAGCGATCCAAAGGCATGTGGAATAATCTAGTCAATATAGTAAATGAAGGAGGAAAATAAACAAATTGCATCAGAAAATGTTGTGTATAAATCTGAATTAATCCACCGAAGTCCATGTTAAGGAATTTTATTGAAGTTTTAAATTAACGAAATTACAGTACGTTGTGATAGACTTTAATCTAGTACTTACTGGCAGAATATACACGAACATAAATGAATCAGAAAATTTGTTTGAATTAGGGAAAAAAAAGAAATGTTGCAGTTTGTTTCAGCTCAATATTTCTTCTTTACTGAAGTAGAATAGAAGAGTCTGAATTGATAGTTTGAAAAAAAAATACAAAACATTATACAGTTACTGACTGGGTATGGGGGCAACTTTTTCACCTTCAGGTCCAGCAAATAATATGTTGCCCGATTCTTAGTCTATAACTGTTTTGTTATACCCTTCAGTGCTCCTTTAAGATTTAATCAATACACACTGTATTATCCATTACTTTATATGGCAAATACTGGCTATATCAGTAAATACAAATAAAGAGTTGAGGAAGAACAAAATTAAATATTAATTTATTATTTCACAAAAATGATTTATCACAAAGCATACTCTACCCTTCTTTTTTGCTGGTACATGTAGCAACAACTCTTGCAGTACTTTACTTCGGATATTTCCGTGTCGCCGATATTGAACGATGATTAATTACTTGTGATGTAGAAGTGACGTAGCGGTCTAACAATACCTATGTTGGACTAGCAGGCCAGTCAACAGTGAAATTGTTAGACCGATGTAATAAACATTTCTTTTGTTTGACTTTTTATTAGTAAGAAATATACAGAAATCTATTTATAAGGGTGTAACAAAATGAGATAATAACCGTTGTTTTTTTAAAGTAATAAATTATTTGATTTTCTTTTTAGTTGCCCAGAGAAAAAAAAGAGTGGAAAACAATGGGCGAGGAATAAAGAGCAGTCTTCTGATAGACTGGTAAACAGTGGGCGAGGAATGAACAACAGTCTTCTGATAGAGTGGTAAGCAGTGGGTGAGAAATGAAGAACAGTCTTCTGATAGAGTAGTGAGCAAGGAATTAAGAGCAGTCTTCTGATAGATTGGTAAACAGTGGACGATGATTGAAGAGCGAGGAATGAAGAGCAGTCTCCTTGTAGAGTAATAAACAGTGGGCAAGGAATGAAGAGCAGTCTTCTGATAGAGTGGTAAACAGTGGGCGAGGAATAAAGAGCAATCTTTTAATAAAGTGGTAAACAGATATCGAGGAATGAAAAGCAGTCTTCTGATAGAGTGGTAAACAGTGGATGAGGAATGAAGAGCATTCTTATGATAGAGTGGTAAACAGTGGGCGAGGAATGAAGAGGAGTCTTATGATAGAGTGGTTAACAGTGGGCGAGGAATAAAGAGCAGTCTTCTGATAGAGTGGTAAACAGTGGGCGAGGAATGAAGAGGAGTCTTATAGAGTGGTAAACAGTGGGCGAGGAATGAAGAGCAGTCTTATGATAGAGTGGTAAACGGTGGGCGACGAATGAAGAGCAGTCTTCTGATAGAGTGGTAAACAGTGGGCGAGGAATGAAGAGCAGTCTTATGATAGAATGGTTAACAGTGGGCGAGGAATAAAGAGCAGTCTTCTGATAGAGTGGTAGACAGTGGGCGAGGAATGAAGAACAGTCTTCTGATAGAGTAGTAAACAGTGGGGGAGGAATGAAGAGCAGTCTTATGATAGAGTGGTAAACGGTGGGCGACGAATGAAGAGCAGTCTTCTGATAGAGTGGTAAACAGTGGGCGAGGAATGAAGAGCAGTCTTCTGATAGAGTGGTTAACAGTGGGCGAGGAATAAAGAGCAGTCTTCTGATAGAGTGGTAGACAGTGGGCGAGGAATGAAGAACAGTCTTCTGATAGAGTAGTAAACAGTGGGGGAGGAATGAAGAACAGTCTTCTGATAGAGTGGTAAACAGTGGGCGAGGAATGAAGAGGAGTCTTATGATAGAGTGGTAAACGGTGGGCGACGAATGAAGAGCAGTCTTCTGATAGAGTGGTAAACAGTGGGCGAGGAATGAAGAGCAGTCTTCTGATAGAGTGGTTAACAGTGGGCGAGGAATAAAGAGCAGTCTTCTGATAGAGTGGTAAACAGTGGGCGAGGAATGAAGAGGAGTCTTATAGAGTGGTAAACAGTGGGCGAGGAATGAAGAGCAGTCTTATGATAGAGTGGTAAACGGTGGGCGACGAATGAAGAGCAGTCTTCTGATAGAGTGGTAAACAGTGGGCGAGGAATGAAGAGCAGTCTTCTGATAGAGTGGTTAACAGTGGGCGAGGAATAAAGAGCAGTCTTCTGATAGAGTGGTAGACAGTGGGCGAGGAATGAAGAACAGTCTTCTGATAGAGTAGTAAACAGTGGGGGAGGAATGAAGAACAGTCTTCTGATAGAGTAGTAAACAGTGGGGGAGGAATGAAGAACAGTCTACTGATAGAATGGTAAACAGTGGGCAACGAATGAAGAGCAGTCTTCTGATATTGGCTGTAGTTTATGTGGCTACATTGATAATGCATTAAAATGTTTAAAATTCTGTGAAAGTTTGAAAAATTCACCAACATGAATTCTTAGAACGAAGTATACATAAAACAATATCATAAATTGAAGTTTAATTTCATATGCTCAATATCTTCCTCCTGTTCGAATTTTTATCGAAACACCTGTATTTTTTTCAATTAGATATTTAGATTATGGAGTAAAAATAAATAGTTAAATGGAATGGACGTATTTTTTTAACAAATCTTACAAAATTAGCATGACAATATTTTTTTTACAGTTATGGCTAGGGTTTCCATACTTCCATAGATATAAATATGTATATTTCATAAGACAAGACATTGATTTTTTTAAATTACATATTTGACCTTTTAATCTTTCCACTACTGTTTGGCTCACTTTAAAAAAAATGACTTTGGCCATAACCTTTTAATTTTGACAGGACCTTCGTTAAGATACCAACATGGTTGACCTATAAACCTGAACCTTGGCCTTATATACGTTAATCAACCTGTGAAAAACATAACCTTGGCAAAAAATGTCAATATTTCATATGTAGTTTTCTAATGACAAGGCATTCTCCTTGGTACCATTATTTTGACCCTTTGACCTTTGCTTTGTAGTTTGATCCATATTTAAAAAGTTTAATCTTGTAAATAACTTTAAATGGTTGCTGCTTTGGCTCTCACATTTCACAGAAGTAATCATTAGGTAAAGTCTTTGTATAAAAAGTTCTTTCATATCTTGAGATTGACTACATTTGAGAAACTTTAATCTTTAAAAAGCTGCTGCACGGGGACATCAAAGTTTCACAAACGCATCTTGTTTTTTTAAACATGGTCCTGCTTTAAGATTTCCATATATTTTAAGTCTTTGATAAGTAAATATATTTTTTGATGTTTAAGAACTTAAGCATTTTTTTTTTGAAAGATGTAGTCTCATAAATACAAAGGTGTAACGCGCGATGCATGATTTCTTTGCACACAGGATCCGCCGCAGTTATGAGCTCACATTTTTCACAAAAATGATTTAATGCTTATATCTATTCCCCTATATTCTTGTCTACAAATGTTAGTTGTGCATTATTCACAAAATGAAAAAAAGGTCATCAGGCTTTTTAGCATTTAGTGGCTCTTTTTTTCTGTGGTATTCTAGATATCGGAGAAATAATAAAAATAACATATAGAGCCTTAATATATTAAAGAAATTCCTTCTTTAGGATTGCCTGACTATATATTCACGCGGACAATCATTTTAAAATCCATGGCGTGCAACAGGAATAAGCATATGTTTCATTGTTATTTATTTACTGCATAATATCATAAGATTAATAAATAAATAAGATATAGTAAGATTAAAACAGAAACTTTATTATACAAAAAGAATAAATACAGTCGCTTTAATGAATAATAAGTTTTTACATTATGTTTAGAGTATAATAAGACTATATCAAGAAATAAATCACATAATAATATAAGACCAATCACAATATAACTTTGTATTATTACATCATTAACAGATCTAGAACAAAGACTAGAATTATAACACCATGATCTATTATATATAGATTTGAATTAGTATGTACATGCATGAGTGAAATATGTTACACTTTATGAACCTAAAAAAACCCCTCATAACTCACTGAATGTCCTAAACTCATTCAAGTCTAAAAAACAACATTAACAACAATAAACGAGTCATTAACACATCATGTTACGTTAATCAATTAGGTTTGATCATCATGAGAGTCTCCGTTATATCACTGCCATTCTTAAGTGGTGGATACCAGGGTTCTCTCCAGTATACCGGGGACCAGGGACCGTTGATGTAGGCGTCATGACACCAGTTAAACCACCAGCCTCCTCCTCCATAAAGAACAGCACAGTTAAAATCCCATCTGTCGGTATCTCTGTCCAGGGTGGAGAATGACATCCCAGACAGATCTCCGTCAGAACTCCCCGTGTCTAACATAGCGTCACCTACAGTAATCAAAGATAAAATATTACACGACCTTCTATATCTATTTTGTATAATGAACAGTATCAAGTAAAAAATATAACATGACTTTCTATATCAACTAAATCTATATGATATAATGAACATTATCAAGGATGAAATTTTACATGACTATCTATATTAAATCAAACCATTCCTATTTGTAAAATTTTATCTATATTTATTAAATATTACACTTTCATTTATATCAAAACAAATATAAATTTCAATTTATAACAATAAAAGATAAAGAAAACCCGAGACTATATTTTATATTATTTTATATTGTACAACCTTATAATTTTTAGTATTAATCTTATTGTAAAACATTGAAAATGATGCGTATTAATTATTTCAAACAAACACTCGTATTAAAACAACAGTTATAATGATCGCATATCATTAAATGACCTTTAACTATTTATTGAACAAGACTAATTAATCTCTCTCTATCTCTTTGATTGTCATTCTACATGTTTTACTTTTACCTACCCAGGGTCCCGGTAGCTGGTCCTCCAAGATAAAGTCTGTATTTGTTGGTTTCGTCACCAACAGAGAACTGGTTGTATAATTCATAGAGTTTTGTACCATTTGTCAGTGTGATTGAGACGTAGAGGGGGGAGTTCCTCCCCTTGGTAAGTTGATGTATAACGTCATTTCCTGTATAATTATTCACCCAGTTAATTCCCCTTTTTCTTTTCAAATAAATGTCAGTCTATATATTTTTTGATTCTCGATTGCAATTATCTCATGCACCAAAAGGAATCAATTAATAAATTTTAAAAAAGAAGATCTAACTACAGGATAAAAGATAATTATGCCTTCTTAACAAGTGTAACCATTTATTATAATCTTTATTTCAAATTAGGAATAAGAGAAATTATATGTTAACGAAGTACTTATTCGATAAGAAATGATGAAATTAACACATACCAATCCAATTAGGAGTCCTCCACATTTCCGAATCCGTTTTTGTACTCCACCCACGTTCTATTAAAACTGACAGATCCGCTCCGCCGTTGCTGGATAACCTACAAATTACGTTATTGATTTATCTCGTGTCATTCATAACTGAAGGTGTTCAACTACAAGATGAAATGTATAATTTTTAAATAAAAGAGAGAGAGGGAGAAGGAGAGTGGGGGAACTGTAGAACAAATATCTCGCCAGAAACTCAAATAAAAACCCATCTCAGCTAGTATCTATCATGACGACAAATACTGATTGACGTTTAATAGTTCTTATTTTTTATTTACCATTATTTGCATTGCAAAAGTGAGATCGTCTAAGTTTTATGGCCCCTAAGCCTGGTGTTAAGGCAGGGCTCTGTTGATTATATATATAGAAAATACATTAAATCTTTGAAAATCTCCTCTGCTCCTGGGTATTTAATAAACTAACCAAGATATAGTCAAATTTAATAAGGCTGCCCCTTCCATAATTGTAAATTTCATGACCCCAGGGTCAGGGGTTCTGGTGTTAGATTTGGGCTCTACTGATTTTATAGTGAAAATGCATACATTCTTTAAAAACCTTCTATGCTCCTCGGTATTAAATGAATGAAATATGTACATATTTATTTGGAGGAAGGATGTCTCTTCCAAAATTGTAAATTTCATGGCCCCTGTGTCAGGGGTTCTGGTGTTAAAGCGGGACTCAAATGATAATATATTGAAAATGTATGAATTCTTTGAAATCCTTTTCCTTTGCTATTGAATATTAATAACAATAATCTAAGTTTATATATTTATGATGATTGATTGTTTGATAGTATATTGTTTAACGTCCCTCTCGAGAATTTTTCACTCATACGGAGACGACACCGTATGCCGGTGAAGGGCTTCAAATTTTGACCTTTACTCGGCACTCAGGGCCATTGAGCAGTGAGGGATCTTTATCGTGCCAAAGCCTGCCGCTGACACGGGGCCTCGATTTTTAAGGTCTCATCCGAAGGACCCGCAACTTTCACTTCAAAGTGCCGAGCGCATGGCGAATTAACAGTTGCTACCCATTTTAATGACTAGGTCAGTCGCGGCCGAAATACGAACTCACGACCTCCCGATCACGGAGCGAGCGCTCTACCAACTGAGCTATTGTGAACGGTATACCGTATAAGTGGAAATTTTAGCGAGACGCAAATTAAGCGATTTTTCCTTAAAAACTGGTAATTTATTTTTAGCGAGATGTTATTTTAGCGATTAAAAAATGCATATCAATGAAGCCATTACAAATAAAACGCAATTAATTTTTAGCGATATTCAATTTTAGCGATCTCGGCACCCTCGCTACACACCCATTAAGTTCATTTTCCTGATTTGAAGTCGTCTTCACCGAAGGGGGGGGGGGTCAATGCGTGTGCAGCGGCATTGTGTCACCACAAGTAATATCCAAGTACGTTAAAAACTGTATTGCCTAGTCTATATCTTGGAAAAATTCTTAGGCAAGTTCGTCTCTGGATTATTTTCGAACATTTTGATTTCAAGCACATTTGTCACATGCACTGAATGTCCAAAACTCAACTTCTATGCTTTTCGTTTGATGGATGCAATTGAACACTTGCAGAAAGCATTTTTGTAAAGGAAGTTTGGCAGCAATACTCTGCACACATCCATAGCTAACCTGGACTATAAGACTCGTAAATCATCTCATACGCTTTTAACTTTCAAATTTATTTAGGCTATGGGCATTTATTTCAGACATGCCGGATTATATATTGCGCATAAAAATTGAGCAGTAGGTGCGTGATACAATGGATGAAAACCCTGGTTTCCAAAATTTTGAAACCCGAATGAATGATATAGGTATTGTGAAATCAGTAGTTTCCATATAGTTTCCATTTCATTGAAAGAACAGAACATAGTGGTTCCCACATAGATTCCTGAGATGGAAACAATCATCCTTTGGTTTTCTGTTAGTTTCCCAAAAGAGGAAACCGAAGAAACATGCCACAGTGGTTTCCATGTAGATTCCCAACATGGAAGCCATCAATGGATGTTTCCCCAATGTTTCCCAGGCAGGGAAACTTTGAAATTATATCTCATACTAATTTCCACTTACTTGTTATTTTACAAAAAGTTAATTATTTTCTGAGATTACCACATTTTTTTCCCGATTATAGAATTTTTATAAACGTGTACACATACTACGTGTATATCAAAAGAATAAACTTTCCCTTCAAACAGTTAGAATAACTATAAGTGTATTTCTGTGTAAAACTTGATATTCCATGTCCGTGAACGGTAATCACATTATAGTCTTGGTAAAGAGTAAGTTCAGTTATATACATTTGATTACTGACTAAAAACCAAATGGAGAAGAGAAAGTACAATTACATAGAAATCAATGTTAACTGGTCAGATAAAATTCATTCATTGAATAGGGTGATGGTCTGAGTATTATAATACTAGTATTATGCTTTAGTTGTTACGATACTCTAAAATTAGTTATAGATATTGCGTCACTATAGCTATTATTTTTATTGTGTGACGTCATGTTCCCTTTCGGAAGTTCTCGGATGTCGCGAATACAGCCGAGGAACACCAGCACGCGATCGTCTGCGACACAGGATTCAAGAGACTTTAGACATTTGGCACGGGAATAATGGACTTTTCATACTTCATAATTCGGCTTGGGCTTTGGGCTAACCGTGGAAGTATTGTCGTGTAGATAGCGATCGGTGTCCGTGGAGCTGGAGGACTTCCCCTTTGATTAACAGCTGAGTAAATTCTGTCCGCTATTATTGTTTACCTTTTTTTGTGTGTGTAACTGTAATTATATGTGTTAATTTAGTATGATTATTTGTTTTACCATTAAAGTTTGTTAAAGTTTTCATTCGTTTTGCCTGGTGTGTTGTTGTAAGTGTGTCATTGGGAGCTAAAAATAGATTTGTGTATTCGGCACACGTTACAAATTGGGGGCTCGTCCGGGATAATCGAACTTCTGGCTTTTTGTGGGTAAATTTTGAAAACGATTTCTCGGAGATTTTGATCATTGAATTATTTCATTTGGGAATTTAATTTATTATCATACACACCAGTCAAGATGGTTTTTAACTTAGAAGATTTTTTAAATGCACCAGATGCGCGGTTACTTCAAACACTTAAGAAAGATGAACTGTTTGAGTTTGTGTCAAAGTTTCACTTGAATGTTAAGCGCAGTGCTCGGAAAATAGAAATTAGAAATGCTGTTGTTCAGTATTTAGTTCAGAGAGGTATTTTAGATGATAGTGCTTTGTCATTAGTTGAAGATTTGAAATCTAGTGTAATTGAAAAAAAGAAATTTTGAATATGAATTAGAGTTCAAGAAATTAGAAATTGAACAAGAGAGAGAAAGGCAGGCATTTGAAAGAGAAAAGAGAGAATATGAAAAAGAGAAAAGTGCGCAAGATCGAGAACACGAGTTGCAAATTAAGAAATTAGAATTTGAAACGCAGAAGTTGAAACATGAGTTGGAAGCTGAAGCTAAGGCTAAATCAAAATCTGACTTTGATGTGACAAAGAACATAAGACTTGTCCCTAAGTTTCAAGAGAAAGATGTTGATAAATATTTTATTCATTTTGAAAAAAATAGCAGAAAATTTGAAATGGCCAAAAGAATTCTGGCCACTATTGTAACAGAGTGCATTTTTTGGGAAAGCGAGGGAAGTCTACAGTGCATTGTCACTTCAGCAAAGTACAGATTATGATGTTATTAAGAAAAATGTCTTAAAAGCATATGAACTTGTACCAGAAGCCTATAGACAGAAATTTAGAAATTACAAGAAATTCAATGAACAGACTCATGTTGAATTTGCAAGAGAGAAACAGAATATGTTTGAGAGATGGTGTACTTCTAAAAATGTTGGGTCAAACTTTGAAAGGTTGAAACAGGTCATTTTGATTGAGGAATTCAAAAATTGTATTCATCCTGAAATTAGAACCTATTTAGATGAACAGAAGGTTGAGACTCTTGAGCAAGCTTCGACTGCGGCTGATGATTATGCACTAACGCATAAGGTATCTTTTGTAAAACTCAGTACCGGTACTAGTCAACAGAAGATGGTCACCTATGACAGTTCTCGAGGGGGACCAGACACTTCACAGGTATCTCAACCTAAGATGTCGTACTCTGAGATCAAAGGTAAGGACAAGAATAATGAAACCTTAAAGCCGGTACCCATTTGTAATTATTGCAAAAAGAAGGGTCACATTAAGTCTGAATGTTGGGCATTACAGAGGAAAAAACCTGTAAGTAATGATAGTAAACCAAGTCCCACTGCTCTTACATCTGTCCAAGGTAAGGTTTCCTGTAGTCAGTTTGAGAACACTGCTGTTGAGCCAGAGTCTGATGTTCTTAGAGAGGAATTTAAGCCTTTTGTATTTAATGGTTTAGTGTCGGTGGGTACCGACTCACACCCTATAAGAATTTTAAGGGATACAGGTGCTTCTCAGTCTTTGTTACTAGAGGGCGTGTTGCCACTGTCTGAGAAGACACATACTGGTTCTGAAGTGCTGATTCAAGGTGTAGAATTAGGACTGTGAAAGTTCCTCTTCATGTTATAGACTTGAGGTCAGATTTAGTCTCTGGGTCTGTGGTTGTAGGTGTCAGACCTACTTTACCTGTTAAGGGAGTTTCTCTTTTGTTAGGTAATAATTTAGCTGGGGGTAGGGTGGTACATGACCCAATCATTTGTGAAAAGCCTAGTCTTATAGGAGAGGTAGAGGAGGAGAATAAAGAGTTATTTCCTTCATGTGCTATTACAAGGGCTATGGCTAAGAAACTAGGACATGCTGAACAGATGGTTAGTCAGAAGTTAGATACAGGGAAGGACTTGTCTATAGATCTTGATGAGACATTTTTGTCAGCTATGTTAGATTCAGAAAGTCACATTTCCTCAGAGGATCAACAGTCTAAAGGTGATGTATTTGGTTTACAGGAAATGTTAGACAACACACCTCTTACTAGAGATAATTTGATATC